TATAATTATATATGATATACTTATAATAAATATAGATGTCATATTATGTATATTTTATGTATAATTATATAATATAAATATATGTGGCATATGTAATTATTATAAACATATAAATATATATGTGATATATATATATATATATATATATATATACACACCATTAGAAGCCGGCCGGTGGCTCACACCTACAATCCCAGCACTTTGGGAAGGCTGAGGCAGGCAGATCACGAGGTCAGGAGATCGAGACCATCCTGGCTAACAAGGTGAAACCCCGTCTCTACTAAAAATATAAAAAATTCAGCTGGGCGCGGTGGCTCACACCTGTAATCCCAGCGCTTTAGGAGGCCGAGGCAGGTGGATTGCCTGAGCTCAGGAGTTCACCACCAGTCCAGGTAACACGGTGAAACCCAGTCTCTACTAAAAAAAAATACAAAAAATTAGCTGGGTGTGGTGGCATGCACCTGTAGTCCCAGCTACTTGGGAGTCTGAGGCAGGAGAATTGCCTGAACCCGGGAGGCAGAGGTTGCAGTGAGCCAAGATGGTGCCACTGCATTCCAGCCTGGGCAACAGGGCAAGTCTCCATGGCGGAGGTGAAGTGGGACATTAGGAACTAGGAAGGGGGGGGTCAATTTTAAAGGACATAAAAAATAAAAAGATTTATTTTTCTTTTTTTAGCTTTGCAAAATGGCAGTATCATAGCCAATGAGGTTTATCCAAGGCGCGATTATTGCTAATTGAAAACTTTTCCCAATACCCTGCTGTGACGACTTTCAATATAGTCAGATTGGTGATTTTTGACAGTCTCTATGGAGACTGAATTAAAAGAAAATTTAATAAAATTAAAAAAAAATTTTTTTTTAACATTCTTTCTTTTTTGTTGAGACAGGGTGTCACTGTATTGCCCAGGCTGCTCTTGAACTAGGCTCAAGCAATCTTCCTGCCTCAGCCTCCCAAAGTGTTGGGATTACAGACATGAGCCACGATGCCCAGTCAAAAAAATAAGATTTTAAAGGAATGGCCTGGAATGAGGAAGACAGACCAATGTTTACTGAGTGCTTACACTGTGCTGGGCAAGTACTTTACATCCATGTTTTATTCAACATTTCCAACAGGCCCATTTGTAGATATTAAGACTTAAAAACAATTTTTCAGAGACAGAATCTCACTGTTGCACAGGCTGACCTCAAACTCCTGGGATCAAGGGATCCTCCTGCCTCAGCCCCCAGAGTAGCTGGTACTACAGGCATGCACCAACCACCCTGCCCAGGGCTATTAAGACATTTTAAATATGAGGAAATAAAGGCCAAGGGAAGTTAAGGATTTTACCAAGTCACTCTACTTCCCATGATACAACCAAGATTGCAAAACAAAATCTGACTCTAAAGCCCATGCTCTTTTTCTTTTTGAAATGGAGTCTTGCTCTGTCACCCACACTGGAGTGCAGGGGCGTGATTTCGGCTAACTGCAACCTCTGCCTCCTGGGTGGGTTCAAGCAATTCTCCTGCCTCTGCCTCCCAAGTAGCTGGGACTACAGGCGCATGTCACCAAGCCCAGCTAATTTTTCTATTTTTAGTAGAGAGGGGGTTTCGCTATGTTGGCCAAGCTGGTCACCCCATGCTCTTTCCATTAATTTACTCAGCATCTGTCTCTGGCCCAGTCCCATTAATGGCCATGAGCACAATATAGAGGCATAGCATCAGAAACAAGGAGGCTTACCAGACCTCATCTCTAATACAGACGGTCCCCAATTTATGATGGTCTGACATATAATTTTTTGAATTTAGCCAGGCATGGCGGCTCATACCTGTAATCCCAGCACTTTGGGAGGCTGAGGTGGGCAGATCACTTGAGGTCAGGAGTTCGAGACCAGCCTGACCAACATGGTGAAAATGTCTCTACTAAAACTACAAAAATTAGCTGGGTATGGTGGCTCATGCCTATAGTCTCAGCTACATGGGAGGCTGAGGCAGAAGAATTGCTGGAACTTGCCTGGGAGGTGGGGGTTGCAATGAGCTCAGATTGTGCCACTGCACTCCAGCCTGGGTGACAGAGTAAGACTCCATCTCAAAAAAAAAAAAAAAAAAAAAAAAAATTTTTTTTTTAACTTTACAATGGTGCAAAAGTGATGAGCATTCAGTGGAAACTATACTTTGACACCCCTACAACCATTTTGTTTTTCACTTTCAGTATTCAACAAATTACATGAGATACTCAACACTTGATTATAAAATCAGCTTTGTATTAGATGATCTTGCTTAATTCTAGGCCAGTGTAAGTCCTCTGGGCATGTTTAAGGCTCAGAAATGAGCTGAACATCATAGGATAAGCTATTCTCAGTAGGTTAGGTGTATTAAATGCATTTTCGACTTACTATATTTTGAACTTATGATGGTTTATTGGGACATAACCTCAGAGTAAGTCGAAAAGCACCTAGGCTGTCTTCAGTTCTGAGTGCTAAACTTTAAGAGGGTCACTGGCAAACTAGATATGGTCCCATAAAAGATTTAGGCAAGGTCACTGGGTTATGTTGACCATATAGAAGGAAGGCCTTTAGTTAAGATCAAAACTGGTTGGAACAATGGGCTAGAATGGTACTCAAAAGCAACAGGATTTGCAGTCAGGTAGCCAAAGGTTTGCGTACCAGATTCTGTCACTTACTGTTTAGAATCCAGGCAAGTTACTTAACTTCTCTGGACCTTAACTTTGATATCTATAAAATGGGGGTAATACTACACGAAATTGTAAGACAGGAGAAAAAGTAATATTTGTAAAGTTCTTGGGACATAAAGACTCAACAAATGGTAGTGCACATTAAATCTAACAAAATGAAATTTAAGGAAAAGAGCAAGTAAATCAATTTTAGAAGCACCAGATGAAACTTAACAGGAGTACATAAGAAAAGAATTAGGGCCGGGCGCGGTGGCTCAAGCCTGTAATCCCAGCACTTTGGGAGGCCGAGGCGGGTGGATCACGAGGTCAAGAGATCGAGACCATCCTGGTCAACATGGTGAAACCCCGTCTCTACTAAAAATACAAAAAATTAGCTGGGCATGGTGGTGCGTGCCTGTAATCCCAGCTACTCAGGAGGCTGAGGCAGGAGAATTGCCTGAACCCAGGAGGCGGAGGTTGCGGTGAGCCGAGATCGTGCCATTGCACTCCAGCCTGGGTAACATGAGTGAAACTCCGTCTCAAAAAAAAGAAAAGAAAAGATTTAGGGATCTTAGTTGACTTGAATCTATGAATCAACAACTTGCTAAGACCGCCAAAAATTATTGTGAATTTGGAGCCCATTACTGAAGCACAGTGTCCAAAGCAAAAAGTCCTATCAGACTTCATTCTTGATACTATCTTTAGTCCCGAGTGCTAAACTTTAAGAGTGTCACCGGCAAAAAAATCAATCCAGAGCAGATGAGAATGGTTAGTAGCTCTGAAAACATAGTAACTAGCCTTTTTCTTCCTAGCTCTGTTCCCTCCACTCCATCCAACCAAAGCTACCTGACAACTGCTTCCATCTCTATTCCCCAGTAACACATTCAAGTTCACGTATCCCCCCACAACATATTCACATCCCTCACACTCAATTTTGCCTCAGTCTCAAAGACCCAAATGAATCTGACAGAAGTGACTTGTTTCCTTCTAGTTCGCAATTCTAGGATGTGACATGTCAGACTTGCTGCTAATCTGGCCCTGGCCTGCAGATTAGACTCGATGCTAATCTGCACCAAATCTAACTGGCCCCCGAGTTCTTCCCAAGGCTGAGACCCAACCCTGTGCTCTAGGTAACTGAATCAATCCTGAGTCTGAGTCACATACAGTACTCAAGAAACCAGGACTCTTCCTGAATGTCTCCTTGACCCACACCTCCATTACTCCCTTTTAAAAGGATGCAGCTGGTCAGGAGGATGTACAATTAGGCAACGTCAGTCATCTTAGCCATTTCAAACCTGCTAGACCGATCCTTTTTTCTTTTTTAAATTTTTTTAAGACATAATCTCGCTCTGTCACCCAGGCTGGAGTACTGCAGAGGCACAATCATGGCTCACTGCAGCCTCAACCTTCCAGGCTCATATGATCCTTCCACCTCAGCCTCCCAACTAGCTGAAACTACAGGAACATACTACCATGCCCAGCTAATTAAAAAAAATTTTTTGAGATGGAGTTTCACTCTTGTTGCCCAGGCTGGATTGCAATGGTGCGATCTCGGCTCACCGTAACTTCTACCTCCCAGGTTCAAGCGATTCTCTTGCCTCAACCTCCCAAATAGCTGGGATTACAGGCATGCACCACCATGCCTGGCTAATTTTGTATTTTTAGTAGAGACAGGATTTCTCCATGTTGGTCAGGCTGGTCTCAAACACCCAACCTCAGGTGATCTGCCTGCCTCAGCCTCCCAAAGTGCTGGGATTACAGGTGTGAGCCACTGCGCCCGGGCTGTAAAATTTTTCTGTGGAGACGGGGTCTCCCTTTGTTGCCCAGGCTGGCCTCAAACTCCTCAACTGATGTTCCCGCCTCAGCCGGAACATCCCTAAGTGCTGGGATTACATGTGTGATCAACCATGCCTGGCCTAGATCAATACTTTCAAATCCAAAAAGGCCCTCAGATAAACTCAGTAACAAACCTATATATGCTCATAAAATGGTACAAGTTGATCAGCTTATTGTACCTAAGAGACTATTTGCAAACCTACAAAGAATGAAGTCTTAAATAGCTGCCTGTAATCTGGATGTCCTCATTGCAGTGCGCAGTTCTAATTCTAATTAGAACTGGGCTTGGCTCAGCTGCCCAGCAGAATCCAGACGGTAAAATCTGGTAACTCCCACGTCCAGACTCTTAGGGCAACTGACACTGGAGTAATGTGAGCTTCCCTATGGAATGGCCTTGTCAAAATTAGCAGGTTTTCCTGGCTGAATCAGAACAGCCTGTGTCTTGTTTCATTCAATACTCCCTTGGAAGCCAAGCATCTCTCTAGGGAATGCCATCTGTAGTGGACATCAGGTGTCTCAATGCCCTCTTTTCAACCATGCAGATATACTGGTTCCATTTCCATATCTCAAGGGGCTCTGCTCTTTCTTCAGATGAGAGAAACCATGAAAAACACTAGTCTTTGAGAAGTCTGCCTTGCTGCTCTTCTTCCAGAGAACAGCTCAGTTCTAGTCCAGAACCAAATGATTCCTGGAGCTTTCATCCAGTTCAGACTGGTTAATACCTAGTTCTGAGCCAATCTGTAAATTCAAGACTTCCCTTCCTGAAGTGTACCTGAATGTCTAAACTCACTTCTAGATGGTTCCTTGATCAACAACAGCATCCTACATATTTTCTGAATCACTGGTTGTCAGACGTTGACTATGGATTTAGAGATGTTAAAATACGTATTACTGGATCCCACCTGTGGAGTTTCTGATTCAGATCGAGGCGAGGACTTAAAAATGTGCATTTTTATTTTTTTTGTTTATGCACCACACTCAAGTAGACCCAGGTGTCTATTGTTCCCTTCTTTGTGGTCCATGTATACTTAATGTTTAGATCCCACTTATAAGTGATAACATGTGGCATTTGTTTTCTGTTTTCTCCTTTTTTTTTTTTTGAGATGAGGTCTCGCTTGTTGCCCAGGCTGGAGTGCAGTGGTGTGATCTCGGCTCACTGCAACCTCTTCCTCTCGTGTTCAAGCGACTCTCCTGCCTCAACCTCCCAAGTAGCTGGGATTACAGGTATGTGCCACCATGCCCAGCTAATTTTAGTATTTTTAGCAGAGACGGCAGGCTGGTCTTGCACTCCTGACCTCAAAGGATCCACCCGCCTCAGCCTCCCAAAG